GGGAGAAGATATGAAGATTATCAGAATTTCAGTTTGAACAGTCTCTACAGTCTTGTATGACCCCAGAGATGGGTAAATTCATTAGTGAAATTAGATGGTAGCTGTAGCTTTAATAAATGTCAGTCTATATAATGGACAGTCTATATAAAATATCTTAAACCTGCAGTCTATAACAGCCAGCAGGGGGCAGCTCCATTCCTGATAGTATGAGTCTTTATGGAAGAAGTTGATTATGAGCTCAGTAAATGGTTTACTGATAATTCAGTCTTCTTCATACAGCATGATGTTTATTTAAGTAATATTTGTGTCCCATTTTAGAATAAAATAAGACATAAAAGCAGGGTATGCTATATTTAAAATGTGTGTGTGTGTGTGTACATAAAAAAAAATATAATATATATATATATATATATATATATATATTTACTCTCAGGTTATTTCAGGTTACTCACTTTGATCTGCTCTTTGCTGCCTTTAGGCTTCGTTCTCCTCATTCAGTTGATGTCACTGGTCAGCTGAGAGCTCACTGGTCTCCAAACCAAACTAATGATAAAAAGGAACAGTCAGGAGAGGGAGAGAGAGAGAGAGAGAATTGCAGTCAGCCACCAGGGGGAGATAGAGAGGTTCCATATTTTAAATCTCAGTCCTGATACCAGTTTTCTCTGACCTCACTTCCTGTCTGTGTGTTCAGGTCCGGTGACAAACGCCGTCATCATGGCGGCTCCAGCTAACATGTTCCTGCCCGACAGTCGGCCCGCCGTCCCGCTGCCACGCTTCAGCCGACACCTGCACGCCTCTGAGGGCGATGGTGGAGAGTCTGGAGTGGTTTGTGTCCGTCTGGGACTCTATGCACAGGTGAGTCAGCAGGTGAAGTAGAACTGGCACTTTCTGAGGATTTCTTTCTCCAAAATAAAGCTCCAAAAGTTTTTTTCAGTATCGTAGTAACCCAGTGATAGTTGTTGTCTGGACATCCATACTAACAGCTTATGGCTAACAGCTCATTTCGCACACTGTTAATTTAAACAAATATTTACTTCATTTATCGTTGCTGACTACAAAGAAACCACCAATAATAATATTTACAGCAATCAAACATTTGCTGACTCCGCTAATGGTGCTAGTAATGACCTCTGCAGTCTGTGGGCGGTTTTGTTTGTTTTATTTTGAAATATTACTAAAATGCTTGCTTTTATTTCAAAAGAAAAACCCACAATCTTTTATTTTGAAATTGGACAAAACTTTGAAGTCAGTTTGAAAGAAATGTTTTATTTTTAAATGTTTTTAGGAGGAGGAAGAGACGTACCTGCAGAAAGCTGATAGGCTGAACTCTTTGATGAATGCTGTGACTGACAAGGTGAGAAGGGGCGGGGCTACATACACTTGTAGCAAGTAGTCTGCGAGTAGATTATTATATTTATAATTGTGTGTTTGTTTCAGTCGGTGTTCGGTGATGGTGAGAACACGAAGGTTCGAGTGGCAGAACTAGAAGAGGAAGTTCAGACTCTGAAGAAAGTCAACAAAGATTTGTACGAGTTTTCCAGTCAGCTGCTCACCAAACCCACATAGACACAATACAGCAGAAATACACACTGACACAAAAACACACATAGACACAATACAGCAGAAATACACACTGACACAAACACACTGTGTGATGATTTTTGTAGACAATAAAAGTCTTTTATTTTGTTGAACTTCCTGTCTGCTGTGTGAACCAGTGAATCTTTGTTACCATAGAAACCATCAGTCACTATAAAGTGATTTTAATCTCGCTGACAGTCTTCAGAGATAAATCAGATTTTACTCAGTGTGCTGTAAATGGTTGCCCTGTGTGCCTGTTTTTAAACTTTACTAATTAAACATGATGTGCTTATTATTAATGCTGTGACTAAATAATTAATCACTTCTGCTTAAATGTAGTTTGGAGAGCAGACAGGCTTCAAGACTCCAGATTACAGACAGGAAGTTGTGTAGTTTAAACTGTACAGAGATCTGATTACTCTGAAAGTCTCCACTGACTGACACCCTAACTACCCTAACCCAACCCCTAACTACCCTTACAAACCTCTAACTGTGTGTTTGTCTTCTACACCTGTTTGTCTTCCGCCACACTCCGCAAACGCCATTCAAAAAGTTGTTTGTGTCTCTCACCCGGCTTTTTACATTTGTACTGGAATTACGAACTTTTTGTTGCCATCTGTGGGTGACATCGTTGTTCTACTGTAATACTACCTGGCGCTGACATAAGGACTTCCCGAAACCCGGATTGTGTAACCACTCCGTCGCCAAGCTAACCTAGCTAAGTTTGTTTTTAGCCTGGTGGCTAGTGCTAGCTGACCCCCAAAGCACCTATCCCTCACCATGTCAGTGTGTGGACATTGTTTGCCGGCGTACTCACTGCTGCAGAATGACATCAGGCAGCTAAGGCAGGATCTTAAAAACAAAGACGATCTGATCCTGGGTTTTTCATCCGTGGCTTCTTCTCAAGCTAAACACCTCTCCGCTCTGGGCTCTACCTGCTGTGGCTACGGAGGCACCAGTCTGCCCACCGAGTGTGCAGCCTCTACCACACACAACGATCGGATGTCACCTTGCATGGACGGCTCTTGTTACACCGGTGGGAAGCCGGTCGCTTTCCGACAGAACATCCCAGCACTGACCATCAACTCGTGGCGCACCCTCGGGCTGGTTGTGAGTTCCCAAGCCTGCTCGCACTCCCCCTGCACCACGGAGCAATGGGCTCCGGGTCAGAGTAGGGGCGGCTAAACGTCCAGCCCGACGACTCACAGCTGAGCCACTCTCCCTTGCTGTCCAACAAATTCCAAAGCTTTGGAAAATGGCGATGAACTACGGCTGAGTGACGCTTATCTCCCTGGCCCCACCGACCCCCCCTGCTTCCGGACGTGGCCGGCTGAATGGCTCCCAACTCCTCTTCGCCAGGACCAGACCAC